TGTGAGAAAAGGAGCTGCAGGAACAGAGAAGCGTAGTAATCTCCCTACTTTAGTCAGCAGTAGTTAAAGCAGTTACTGAAAATCAGGAAAGCTGTAATTAACCAAAACACAACTCTCTAATAATGACTGTCCTGGCATTGGATTGTTTTGTAATGTTATTATGTGCACATTCTTAAATTGATATATATATATTTTCATTTTTAATTATCACTGTCAGTACGGTATGGCGCAATATCCTTGATTAGAGATAGAAAACAAAATAGTGTGGAAGTGCTCTATTACCTGTTTCTGCTTCTGAGAGAAAAACATGGAAAAAGCCAGAGAAATAAGAGAGGTTTACACAGTATAGACACACTTACGCAAGACATAAACAGACAGTGCACAGTTTGAGGTGTTTTCCACAGAAGCTTGCACATCACAAGTGATGTATTCAGACATTGACAGAATGACAGTAACGAAAAATGACGTTCATGCTTTGACGAGAAAACGTAATGCAGTCGAGTTATGGCAAGCCGTACCTGTGTCTGCTCAGCTGTGTCTGGCTGCTCCAGCTGTCCTTGGTTCTTTGCTGCAGCTTGCTGCTCAGTTCATTGATGATGCTGGGCTTCATACTGGACGCGGGAGGGTAAATTTTCTTCCCCTCTAAAAGCGCCCCATGCTGGCCGCTCCCATCGCCAGACATCTGACTCTCTCCCCAAAGAGGCTTCATCTCAGGAGTGCGTGGCCGCTCGAAGTATGGTGAAGTGGGACGTCCCAGATTCTGCATGTCCCTTACTCCATATCCGTCGTGGCCGCTTTCGTCCTCTGCCACTCCCTCCTCGATCTCATCCTCTTCCTGTTCGTCTCGCCGCCTGTGGGAGTGGAAGGACGCGGGAGCGGTGCTGGTTTGTCTTTGTAGCTCCCCGGCACGACCTCCCTCTCTGAACCTGTTTGTTTTAGGGTAGGTGGATGCTGCTGCCGTAGCGTTCTGCATCTCAAAAGTCTGTCCATCCAGGTAGCTCATGTAAGACTCCAGAAAATCTCCTCCCCTCTCTGCATCCCCTCCCATCCGTCCTCCAGGTCCTCCTCTCTCCCCTCTATCTAGTCTGTCTCCCCTTAGAGCCAGGATGCTGTCCAGGTGGTGGTCACTGCTGCTGCGACTGTCCAGCTCTTCGATCCCAGAGTCCACCACAGTCTCCTGGGACTCTCCTTTCTTGGCGGTCGGGGGAAGACGGTGGTGCTCTCCTGGCCTTCGGCTTCCTGTGATTGCGGCGGAAGATGTTGAATGCGTGGTGTGTGTTCGCTCCTGGTAGAGCTGCGTGGAGGTGCTTGTTGTGGTGGCAGCGGTGGTGGTTGTAGCAGCACAGCTAGCGGTCGTGGCATGAGAGGCGGTGCCCCTTTGTGGGACAGTGGTGGCAGCAGTGGACGAGGGCGCTGGGGGACCGCGGTAGGCTGGAGGAGGAGCCACAGTGTGAGGGGGAGGTGTTGGTGAAGAGCGCCCATGAGTGTGAGTGCTGTTGTAAAGATGGTGGGACATAGAAAAGGGTCTGTGGTAAGAGCCAGGAGGAGGTGGGGGTGACACTGATGGTGGAGGTGGAGGGCCCGAGGTGGGCTGCAGGGTAGAGGGTGAGGGTGGAGGCTGTGGGTTGGGTGATGTTTGTGATGGGGAGGGAGCAGACTGAGTCAGGTTTGCCACCTCACTGTCATAAGATGTGAGACTAGAGGCGGTGGAGTCCCCGGCCTGAGGCGAGTGAAGGGGTGTATGAGCAGGAAACCCACTTATAAATTGTTCTTTTTGGGGGGGCGGAGGGGGCGGTGGTGGAGGAGG